TGAACCAGGCTTCTTGTGTTAATGAGCTCACGCGTACAGCTTAGAGGGAACACTGTCCAGGAGGATATTTCTAAATGGGCTGAGTGGGCAAAAGCACAGTGAATAAAGTTCAATGTGTAAGGTGCACATAGGAGTGCAAAAAAATTCCTAAATAAAAATATATGCTGATGGGGTCTGAACTGGTAAAGACTAAGAGGGGAAGAGATCTTGAAGTTGTAGTGGGCAGCTCAGTGAACGTGTGATCAACTCATTGTACAGCAGCAGCGAAAAAGACGAACTCCATACTGGGGTATGTTAGAAAAAGAACTGAAAATAAAACTACCAGGATTGTTAAACCGTTGGCTTGTATCCAGTGGATCCAATGGAAATGGAAATATAAATGGACTGAGTGCAGTTTTTCTCGAATATGTTCTTCTGCAACGTGTAGTGTTTCCCTCCTCCTTGTATGTTATAATGCACAGAAACTGGTTGCACTTCTTACACAAGTGAAAACGTAAGTGGGGAATACCATAAATTTGACAGGGTAAATGAACCAGGGCTTTTTCCTGGCATTTCTTCTTGCACAAGATCTCTAGCACAAGTGGAAATTTTGCAGTGGATGCAACCCATTGTCCTCGATCCCTTCCAGTCCGGCTTTCGCCCGAGCCACAGGACGGAGACGGTACTGGTTGCGCTGACTGACGATCTCCGTAGGCATCTGGATCGAGGTGGCTTGGCGGCACTGGTGTTGTTAGATCTGTCAGCTGCGTTCCACACGGTCGACCACCAGTTGCTGGCCCACTGCCTCACCGACGGGCTTGCTCTTCAATGGTTCGCCTCTTTTCTCCAAGGTCGGGGACAGAGGGTGGCGATTGGGGACCCGAAGACACCCTTGAATGTGGGGTGCCCCAGGGAGCTGTGTTGTCCCCAATGTTGTTTAACATCTATATGCGCCCCCTCGCCCAGATTGCCCGGAGGTGTGGGCTTGGGTGTCATCAGTATGCTGATGATACCCAGCTCTATCTGATGTTGGGCGGCCAGTCGGACTCTGGTCCCAATGACCTTTATCGGGCGTTACAAGCCGTGGCTGGTTGGCTCAGACTGAGTTGGTTAAAATTAAACCCAGCAAAGACGGAGGTCCTGGGCCTGAGTCGGACCGGTCCGGGGCTGGGGCTCCCTCTCCCGGCCTTCGACGGGGTGCCTTTGGTGCCTGCGTGTGAGGTTAGGAGTTTGGGTGTGCTCCTGGACTCCTCGTTAACGATGGAGGCCCAGGTGGTAGCCACTGCCAAGGCGTCCTTTTACCACCTGCAGCTGGCTCGGCAGTTGGTCCCCTACCTCAACCGTGAAGAACTGGCCACTGTGATCCATGCGACGGTCACCTCGAGGCTAGACTACTGTAATGCTCTCTACTTGGGGCTGCCTTTGT